ATGCCCGAATCTTGGTAATGCCAAAACAACATCGTTTTGGCATCTTCTTTTTTTTTTTTTTTTTTTTTTCCATTCTCCTTTCTTGAAACTAGTTCGAGAGAAAGAGAGAGAAACAGAGAGGCGGAGAGAAAGAGAGAACGAGGAAGAGAGGAGTAGAAAAAAAAGAGACGGTGAACAACGGTAATCACACCCATCTACAACCCTTTGATTTTGTTTTAATTTTGATTTTCTCAGACCCAACTTTACTCTCTCGCTCCTCTCTCTCTCTCTCTCTCAAACAACTATTACCACATCGCTACTACCAACGATCTAACCACTACCACCAATGACCTACTCTTTCTCCTGATGTTAACCCTCATCCTACTCACCTTCTCTAGATCAGTATTCATTATTTGGGTGGGCAACGGTTGGACGTGCAAGTTACGGGTGACGTCACTGTCGATCGCCGGTTCGTGTAGAGATGAAAACCTATGCATTATTTTCTAGGAATCTCATTCTTCTCCTCTTCTTGTAGTTAACTTGGCGAAAATTCTTCAAAGAATATGTGTATAGATTTCAATTTTGGGTGATTTATGAGGTGGGTTTATGAAATTTTGGATATTTAAGTGTTGAAATTGAAACTACCAACATAAAGAAAAACAATGTTTTCAAATATATGGACCATGTTTGACCCACTCTGGCCATTTCAACCTTTCATTTCTCTATGCTCTCTACCCTGTTTCCTCCACTTTCGTTTGTCTTTAATGACTAACCCATACTCAAAGCCTTAAAAAAGTTTCAAATTTTTTATTTGTTTTTATTTTATTTTATTTTATGGGTTTGTGATGATATGCTTGGAATGTTAAGAAACTTGATTTGTGTATTTCACAATTTGAGTGAAGTTTTAGAATTAATTTTGATTTTGATTTTGATTCTGATTTTGATCTGAATTTTGACTTTGAATAGAGAAAGAAGAGAAGGAAAAAGAGAGTGTAAGGAAGAAAGGAAGAAAAGAGGAGGAAGGGAAAAAAAAATGATTTGGATTGTAGAGTTTGGTTTCAGAAAGCACAGGCAGAAAGAGAGAGAAGAAGGAAGAAGAAAAGAAGTAAAAAAAAACCACAAAACGACATTGTTTTACACTTCAAGCCATTCAAGTCAAAGCAAATTCGAGGCACCTAGCAACTCTGATCTCTCATATATATTTCCAATCAAAACACGGCCCAAGTTTCTAATCAATAGAATTAGCATGAATTGTTATAACACAATTTTACAGGTAAGTGGTGGTTTGGAATGATCTAAGCCTCGCTTGGCAAGAGAATATTTTAGTCAATTAAGTCAAAAATTACTAAATTAGCAAAAGCTAACAAGCATCATACCAAAAGTCAAAGATTCTCTTTTCTCTATTTTTTTGACATCTATATTCGTAATAGCCAAAAAGTCATCCCAAACATACAAGTTTTTTTACCTACCTTTTTAGCCAAATAGCTAAAAAGTACTAAATTAGCTGCTCCCAAACGAGCCCTAAATAAGTGTACTTTTTGACTTTTTATGAAATTATGGGTTGGGTATGATTTGGGTTTGAAGTGAATATTAGAGAAAGTGATGTGACTTAAATAAGATGATGTGACTTAAATAGGATAGTGACTTTTTGACTTTTTAATTATTTAGATCATGCCAAATAAGGCCTAAGTTTACTACTAATATTTTACCATGTAAAATAAATAAATAAATTAAATAAAATATAGTTACTTGGGCTAAATTCACATTTTAATCTTAACAATGATTCATACCCCCTTTTCCCTCCATCCCTTTGACCTTCTCTCTCTCATTGGTTACATTTTCTTTTTCTTTTTCTTTTTTTCCTGCTCCTCCAATCATCACCGCGCACGTGACAAAGGGGTGAGGGGGTGACCCCCAAAAGGGGTCCCAAGCTCATTCTTTAATCTTATACCCTAATGGATCCAGTGAGCTTTTTGTTGGTGAGATGATCGAATATCCTTTATTTTAAGTAGTCGAATTATTCTTTGCCTTGGTCTGATGACGCCAACACCGTGTGAGGATCAAAACCCCACGACAGTGGTTTTTTGGTGTGCTTGGCATCTAGTTTAAAAAGTTAAATGTATATTTTATAATGTTTTTAAAATTAAAAATTGTATTATACTTTTTACTTTCGCAGTCTAGTGTATAAATCTTTTTTTTTTTTCCCTAAAAAAATTACTGAAGGCCCAAAAAAAATACTAAACGTAATTTGGAGTTTTTATCTTGTGCTAATTTTTAAAAATTTTTTGGTTAGTTTAGTTAAGAATAGAACATAAAAGGTTTAGAAAAAAAAATACTAAAGATGAAAAAAAAATCAAAAAAAAAAGAGTAAAAAAA